GCTCCTTTCTCCCTAGGGTGCCCTGTTTGGAAGGTGTCTTCGAGCTCAATTCATGAATTAATTTAAATGGCTCATTTTATATAATGTCTCAACCAAAATAAGTAACCATTAACGTACATGGGATGTTAGTGTTTTAAAAATTTCTTTTTGTAGATCCCTGACGAAGAAAATTCATTTTTCTGAAACGTGATAGTAGAAAACTGCGTTTCTTCAAACCCCAAATTCTAAATAATTACAAGAAATTTAATCAGGTGTTATTCTATCGTAATGGATACTCATGACAAGGCCAGTCGGCGACGTTGTCGCGGAATCAAATGATTTATTTGAGGGCAACTAAGGTAAAAGTGACCAGCCAAGAGGCTCTTATTTGTCGGAAGTTGCCTTGCTGTGCTATATTGTATATATAATCCCCGGGGGTTCAGTGTCGAAAGACGTAAGCGAAGACGAGGAAGACGAAGCTGGAGTAATTAGAAGGATGAAAATGTGTTTGTTACATTTTGTGTTATATCCTTTCATTCGAGAAATGCTCTCAGGAAGCGGGATTTACCTCAGTCAGAGGTTGAGTTTGACGTTTACGTAAATTAAGGAGCATTTACGTATTATAAGTGGAGAGCATACATCCTTATTTTCTAAGTGCATTAGATTGCATAATAAGATAACAGTTAATCGCTACCGAAAGCAACAATTTTCCGAAGAAATATGTTTTTCATTGAAAAATTTAATATACAAGTATTTGCCACATTTCATCAATTTTTCCTATATAATCTCAAAGGATACACTAATGAAAACAAGTATGAAACTACATGTATCAAAACACGGCTGTCCTAAGTATGTAGTAAATGAATAGAGCGTTTTGTGTTCTACAGGTTGTAATGCGCAAAGAGCCATAGGAATAGTAATACAAAATTAAAAAACGCTATTTTTTACGCACTGACTTTTTATAGATCTGTCACATTTTTCAATAAGGTATTCTTGCAAAATCTTTGTCAGACTGCTCGTTTTGGAGAAAAGTTGGTTTGAATATTTGAATATTGAAGATTCAGCCAGCTCTACTTTGAAAATACGGTTAAGCTAGTAAAATTTAACATTGAAATTTGTATTTGTAGCCCGTTTGGAGAGTGACTCTAACTCACCATAGCGTCGTATGAGCAAAGCTCATGTTTTCTTCTTATTCGGTATCATATGTGGCATAGAAATTTACACCCTGTATCTTGGTAAAAAGAGATTGCAAACCTATATTTATTGAAACTTTTTTTGTAATTCTGAGATGTTCTTTCTATCCTAGTAATATTTCCACGTTTCCACCGGATGTTTTAAATTCGACCCTCACCATTGGGATCTCGGAAACGGTAAGAGATATGAAGTCGCTTAGATGGGGGCAAAGTTGCACTTTTAGGGTAACACAATGCCGCTTAGAAAGTTTCAAAATGCAAACCACTTCCGGGGTGACACCAATAAGAACCGAATTTTCCCAAAAATATTTTCATCTTATCCTCACTTTATTTAAACAGAATTTCCTAGGTAAACGTTGAAATCATTAGATAGTCATTTGTTGCGTATACCAGATTATATTGCTTTAATTAAATATGTGAAGTTGTACCTTGTCAAATAAATGTAATAAATATATGTATTTATAACTAAATTGTGTTCAATTGCGCAAAGTTTCAATAGCATGCCCATAAGGAAAAACAAAGTTGAGGGTGGAAACGAGAAACTTCTAGTTGAAAATATGACTACATCCTCGTATCGAGGAGAAAGAGTGGGAATGCTAATATGCAATTTATTTCAAAATCCGCTGTCAAATAAAACTAGAAAATAGACAACGATTTTCCATTAAATCCGAATTACGAAATAAGTAACTATTTCATAATTTCAAGGCCAATATAGGAAATTCCATTTTTTGGCATCTATTATAAAAAATAAAGTTGATGCTGAAGGACAAGAGACGAAACGTATTGAAATTTATATGTTACTGTCTTAAGGGGAGGAAAAAGTGGCAATCTCAATGTGAAATGTATCTTTAAATCAAACTACAAATAAATTCAGGAAAACAGTTTTGGGAAAATTCGATTTTTTCCGCGTCTCTCCGGAAGTACTTTGGATTTCAAAACTTTCTATGCGCCATCTAGTTAGTTACCTAAATACGCAACTTTGCCCACATTCAAGCTATTTCGTATCTCTAACCATTTCCGAGATCACAATGGTGAGATAGAATTTGAAACACCCTGTATAGCAGTCATGGCCGTGTGTTTATTAAATTCCCCTGTATGTAAACGAAGCAAAAAACGTCCCTTTCTCGCTGCAAAAAACTCCTCATGTATTCACAATGTATCCTCCCAGCGTACCATTCCACCTCCTTTTGACAGAAAGTTTGCTCCAGTGTTGCTAAAGCGACGAAGATCAAATCGGTAGACAGTGTTGAAATTCGATAGATCCAAGGACAAAATCAGAGAAACGAAAAAATCGTGGCAGTCACAAGATCGGCGATTAAAAAAATATATTTTTGTATTGCGCGCTCATACACAGCACAGGTTTTTTCTAGGACATCTGTTCCTGAAAAAATCTAAATATCTTTACAACTAGTACAATGAGCATGCCGTTCGCTCTTCAAACTCCTTTGCAACCCTTTAATATCTTTCTGTTTCATTCCTGAACATGTAAGCTTGTCACCAGGCGTTTCCATTTAATATTCAATTAAATACAGACGACCTTTGGTTTCCTTATTGTTTACTAGTATGTTTCTGTTGTACACAAAAGAGAATGTAGGGAGAGTGCGTGCATAGCTGTAGGCAACCCAAATCTCGTGTGCCCGACTGCACACACATGCTTATGTATAACTGGTATGAGGCATAAAACTACGTAGACTACACAGAATTCAGTCTTCATGCTTTATTGTTAGTTCCAGGTCTTTTTCGGTAAAGAATCTGGATTGCTTGAAAAAATCGTGAAAAATGAGTAAGTTTTCGATAAATAAGGTCTAATTTCGATAGAAATACCGAAAAATCGGTAGGTCCAGCAACCCTGCCTTGCTCCACTATCGTCCTTTCTATCTGTTCAACTCAACGGTGTCGAGCAAGGGTTGCATTAGTTCGACAGACGATGCACAAAAAGTGTGTTTGTCGCTCCCGACGCTACGTGATTCGTGCTTTGTGTTACTACAGAAGCATTTAAACAGAAATATTGTTTATTTCGAAATGGAGAAGCTGTGAGGACTGTATCTCGATTAATTAGTTGCAGAGTTACATTATTAGGATTTTGTGAAGTCGGAGATTATGACATACTTGTGAACATGGAATACAAATAGAGAAAAGTGATCTCTGATCTCATCGGATCTTCATTATCAGATATTCTATTATTGTCAAGTGCAAATAGTACCTTAGATATTACCATGTGGTAATAAAGCGTACGCTCAGCTGGCGTGACATGTTATTCCTTTATCCACAGCTTGTTGTTTTGATAGTGAACTAAATTTGTAATTTTCATTAATATTCCTAAATATTTGCAAGTAAGCTTTTATACTTTCTTGAATGGAAAAATCCTGGGTTCCCTCAAACTTCGTCTTTTGAGGTTTCAGATGATTCTGATATTTGTTCAAAGAAACTTTAGCAGTTAAAAATTGGAGGGTGGCGGCTAATAGGCGCAGACGGTACGCCTCAATTTTTTATGTTAGTATATTTATACGCTCCCAATCTCGGTAATTATATGCACTCATCAGACCTAATTCACCAATGAGAGATTTCCCGTACATCTGCCATTAGAACTGAATGCTGGAGAAATACTTCCGATACGCATCTCTGCTTCTGGTCTTTGGGTTCATCGGCTGGCGTGCCGGTCTTTGTAAGTGTCCTGGTATTACAGTCGCTGTACCTTATTAATAGTGGATCGCTATAAGTTGAACTAAAAGGTAATGGGGTACCCACAGGGGCTGGATATCAAAAACGACATCATATCATATTCAAAATCGTATACACAGTTTTGTCGACTTCATAAACTACTGCGAACAAGCTAGCTGATATGCTTAGAACTAGGAAGTTGTATTATCTATCTTGAGAAACTTAAATGTCATTTCAGAAAAAATAATGTAACCTTGCCGATGGCAACACGGCAAGCCGCAGCTGCGTCCGTGGTCTCGCCACTCGGGTTGCTGGGCAACGTGGTGCTTCTGTCTGTCTAACTTACGTATTGCACGCTTCTCGCGCTTCTCTCTCGTACACATTACGACGTCAGTGGTATATGGATCTCTCGGTATAGTATTTTCAATCCTAGCTGAGACCTACCGAAAATGAGAGCCGCAAAAAGTGGAATCCTGCATAAATATTGCCACAGAGCAGACAAAGCGCTGACTCGTTCCTTAAAAGTTTGGTATAAATCGTAACACTGTAGCAAAAACACATATCGTGACCGGAATATATTTATAGACTAGCTGTTACCCGCAACTTCGTAGTTCTATAAATTGTTTCTTAACATATAGTATTTCTATAATTATATTGCATTATAAAATAGGCAGTCAACTTGTATGTTTGGGAAATTAGTATTTTCAATTGAACTAAATTTTACATTGTAAAAGCTACCGCCCTGCCAAATTTCCGGTTTGTACAATCCATCCTCAAGGCGGATCCACACTATGTAACAAAACATGTTGCACAGCAATGTTGTAAAACAGATTTGTTATCAACTTTGTTGTGTAACATGTCATTTAACTTTTGTTATTTCGAATGCGCATCCAGACCATATAACAAAATGTTATAACAAACTTCACACATTTTTGCAGATCAGTATCGAAAATGGCATCAACGGTAGATGATGTTATAATGACGGCAGCAGCTTGCATTATTTTGTGTAAAAAACGTGAATTCAAGTGAAGATTCTGGGTACGACCGTCGTTAAAAGCGCGAACGAAATATAGTGGTATGGCACTCTTAGCAGACCTTGCAAGAGATGACGTAGATCCATTAACTGGAGAAATTCGATGTGACGGTAGTTTTAGAAACTTCGCCAGAATGAAAAGTGCTGATTTTGAATATTTAATAAATCAAATAGGCCATAAAATAGGCAAAAAGACGACTCCATTTAGAGATCCAATTCCTGTACGAGAAAGGTTAGCCGTTACACTCAGATTTTTGGCAAGCGGAGATTCTTACCGAAGTTTGAGTTATATAGTCACATTTTCGACTCAAAGTATATCTGTGATTGTGCCAAAAGTTTGTAACGCGCTCATTGCCTGTTTGAGTGACAAAATAAAAGTAAGTATGATTTTTCTTTATTTTTGTTTAATCAGATTTAATAAAATCCTTAAAAAGCATTTATAATTTCATTAGTAGTTGGTTAAAAGTCATGTCTTCCTCATTAGTATCTTCAGTACATGACTGATTGTCGATTGAAAATGAAGTAGGGCAAGGTGTAGATGGAGCAGACCATGTGGGTGTGGTGGACGATGTGGATGGCCCAGGTGTATTTTCTGACATGTCTGCGTTTTCTGCTCGATAGACAATGTTATTAATTTGAAATTTCGTAGAGGCCACAATTGATTTGTTTTGAAGATTGCGTAATGTATTCACTACATATTCCCCATAAACATCGAAGTCATCGCGCTTTTCTATGTTGCTTGACAGGTGTTTCATCACCGCGTAAGCTTCACCAGATCTTGTTTCCATTATTTTTTTCATCCCTTTTGTTGCAGATGTACGTGCAAATTTTTTATTCACATTTTTTCCTGGTAGTCACCACTATCATCAGCCTCCATCTCAGACGGTAATTGTGATTGTTCATCATCCTAAAAGATAAAAATAAAACCTCATTTCTATTATACAATATTCACATAAAACAAAATTTTATTGAAATGAATATAATAATAAAGCAAATTGTTTTTCAGATGCCAAAACTTCAGGAGGAATGGCTACAAGTTGCAAATGATTTCAACAGGATGTGGAATTATCCCCATTGTTGTGGGAGTATCGATGGAAAACATATATGTTTACAAGCTCCAATAAACACTGGCAGTGACTACTTCAATTATAAAGGATTTTTTAGCATAGTGCTTTTATCTATAGTAGGTGCTAAATACTCTTTCACGTTTGTGAGTGTGGGATGCCAAGGGCGTTTGTCTGATGGTGGAGTTTTCACGAACACGACATTTAAGCAATGACTCGAAACGTCATCCTTGAATCTACCGCCAATGGAAGTTTTACCCGGAAGATCGTCACCCACACCTTTTGAATTTTTGTCTGATGAGGCATTCCCTTCACAGCAGCATATTATGACACCTTTCCCAGGGACTCAAGACAAAGGCTCACCAGGACGCATTTACAATTACAGACACAGCAGAGCAAGACGCGTTGTAGAAAATGCATTTGGAATTTTGTCTGTTGTGTTCAGCGTGTTAAAAAAACCAATACTTCTCAACCCTGAAAAACCTGAAAAGGCCGTTTTAGGATGCTGCTATCTGCACATTTTTTTGCGGAAAGGCCAGTCCTCTGCATGTTATTGTCCAGCGGGAACGTTTGATTCAGATGACATGCTCACAGGAGAACTAATACCTGGCAAATGGAGAGTCGTAGGGCCGCCAAGTGATACACTCCAGATACTTAAAAAGATCCCTAGGAAGCATAGTGAGATAGGCAAAGAAATTTGAGAAGAATTTTCTTTATTTTTTTGTAGTGAGCATGGGAAATTACCGTGAAAGAATAATGACTAATAATTTAATTAATTGATTTTAATTATTCTTTCCTGAGATATGGTATCTTATGATTGGGTCTCTTCGCTGGAGGCCACACCACCTTCACTAAAATGACGTGGCTCATTTTTATCTTTTAGAAATAAAAGCATTTTAAAAGACATCCACTTTGTTTTATAAAACGCATCAGCACCATCTCCACCTTTCCCATTCTTCAGTTCGCGCTGAAACTGTCCAATAAGTATACGCATTTTTTTTTCTACTTCGGTTCTGTCTGCTTTTAATTCTTTGCCTAATTCAGTCCATGCGTCGTGTTCTTTATCTCTATTTTTATATTCCATATGGGTAGGATCCCATAAGATGGATTTTTGGTCAATTCTTTCGACCATTCCATAGCGTAAATACTATATACATTTACTTTTATTACTTGCAAAACCATGCACTCTGCTGTGTCGACGGCTTTAGTTAAACTAAATACCGAACACCAGAGTGGATATTTAAATAACATATTTTCCAGTTTGGACGAGTCGAGGCGCGTTTTATAACAAAGTTCCTCAACTTTCTTTGATTTTTACAGAAATCGAATGGATAACATATAACCTGCTATACAACACAATAATTGATGTACAACACTGTGTTATATAACATTTTGTTGTTGCATTTCTCTAACAAGTTACAAAGCTTTGCTAGATAACATGTTTTGTTACATAATCTGGATGCGCCTTAAGTTTAACTCTAAATAGAACCTCATCTTGCCAATTTTTAGATATTAGGAAGCTCCAAGCAATCTCGAACGCTTCTAACTGTCAGTTAATTCACTTATACAGCCGTGCCACAAAATCTGTTCTTAGCTGAAATGGCATGTCTCTAAGCTACCTCCCCGGCAACCTTCATGTTTGTAGGTTAAAAAGTTTTGGTGAATAATGTGTACCTTTATATTATATCGATCCTTAGCCCCCTTATTCTAGCCCTATTGCAAATTGCGTTTTGCGCTGACATCCCTTAGCCATGAACTACCAGCCTACCAATTTTCATGTTCATAGTGAGCAGATAATTTTTGGATACTTTTAATGTGTATTTAATGTGTATGTTTCACTTTTATATATATTTGCTCTTGAGTCCTGTTGGAAAATCCGTTCTTAACCAAAAGCTGCCTCTCTACCAAATTCCATGTTCATAGGTCAAATATATACTAAGTGACATATAAATCCGAACATCCAGTTTAAATGGTTTTATTTTAATAAAATTTTGTATAAGTACTTAATGAAGCATAATAAGTAAATGATAAAAATTTCAAAATGATTGCACTGCTTTAAAGCCCTTTGACCTTTAATAATGTGTGGATGCACCCTGATATGCTACGCATTCTCCAACGCGCCTAGGCATGCTTCTGATCAGGTGGTCAATGTCCTCCTGTGGTATCTCATTCCAGGCAACCACCAACTCCTCTCGAAGTGCTTCTAGAGTCTGAGGAGGACGTTGCAAATTGAGCAATCTCCTACCCATCATATCCCACACGTGCTCAATTGGGGATAAGTCGGGAGATCTTGGTGGCCATGGTAACAATGTGACATCATTATGTTGAAAGAAGTCTATTGTGACTCTTGCAACATGTGGTCGGGCATTATGTTGTTGGAAAGTTGGATCTGCCAGGGTGTCAAGATAGGGTAAAAGATGGGGTTCTAGAACTTCGTGGATATAACGCTGCGCGTTCATGTTACCTCTGATGAAGATTAAAGGTGACCTGGAACCATAAGCTATAGCACCCCAAACCATAACTCCAACAGTGTGATGAACATGTCTTTCAACAAAAAACTGTGGATTCCTCCTTTCACGTCGTCGCCTTCTAACCCTGACACGACCATCGTGAATGATTAAACAAAATCGAGACTCGTCACTAAAGACAATACTGTTCCATTCCTGATCCCAGAGTGACCGTTGTCTGCTCCACTCAAGGCGATTACGTCGGTGTTCTCGAGTTAAAGGGAGGACCCAGTGTGGCCGGTATGAAAACAAGCCAAAACTTCTCATTCGTCGGTAAACACTTCGCATGCCAATAGGTCTTCCGTGTTCTGCAAACCATTCATTTTCAATGGACCTGGTAGTGGAGAAACGGCCCCTTAAGGCCAATAATCTTAGGCGGCGATCTTCACGGTCTGTTGTTCTACGGCGGCGTCCAGTGCCCCTTGCTCTTTGCATACGGCCTTCTCGAAGCCATGCATGACAACACCTAACCACAGTGTCTACACTTCTTTGCACTCTAACTGCAATTGTCCGAAAAGAAAGTCCAGCTTCCCGAAGTCCCACTATACGGCCCCTATCAAACTCACTAAGTTGACGAAATCGTACAGGTCTCCGTACTCTAGGCATCGTAACCGATCGTAAAGGATGTCAAGAACCAAAATCTGCCAACGTTGATTCTTTACTGTGGCTGAAATATTCATTTTTAGAGCGTTAGTGAATTAAAAAAAAGCAGTGTAAAAACCGGAATGTCCAACTGATAAGGCTGAAAAATTTTTTCTCTTGTTATTTACAGTAAGATAAATACATTCACCAAATTTTATTAAAATAAAACCATTTAAACTGGGTGTTCGGATTTTTATGTCACAAGATAATGCCCGACCACATGTTGCAAGAGTCACAATAGACTTCTTTCAACATAATGATGTCACATTGTTACCATGGCCACCAAGATCTCCCGACTTATCCCCAATTGAGCACGTGTGGGATATGATGGGTAGCAGATTGCTCAATTTGCAACGTCCTCCTCAGACTCTAGAAGCACTTCGAGAGGGGTTGGTGGTTGCCTGGAATGAGATACCACAGGAGGACATTGACCACCTGATCAGAAGCATGCCTAGGCGCGTTGGAGAATACATAGCACATCAGGGTGCATCCACACATTACTAAAGGTCAAAGGGCTTTAAAGCAGTGCAATCATTTTGAAATGTTTATCATTTACTTATTATGCTTCATTAAGTACTTATACAAAATTTTATTAAAATAAAACCATTTAAACTGGGTGTTCGGATTTATATGTCACTTAGTATAGTTTTGTCGCATAATTAATAAATTTAAATAGTTACTTCTCTGGCAAATTTCATGTTCATAGGTCAAATAGTGTTCGAAATAACTTTTTATAAACTTGTAAAGTAATAAATAAATATTCAACCACCTCCTACCACACCATAAGTATTTAATTTCTGAAACACTTTGTTAATAACAATTATTTCAAAGATAAAATTGAAGACAACTTTTAGGCTCGATTCATTTGAAATATTTTCAATTCTCGACAAAAACTTGAAAAGCGTAAATTATCACTTTATCCCCATAGGGATGGAATTTAAAAAAATTCTCTGTAGGCAGTGTTGCCAGGCGAATTTTCCACAAAGCGGTAAAGCTTGGTCCAAAAAAGCGGTAGAAATTGGTATATGAAGTAAATTGTTAATAGCACAATAAATTATTGCATTTTTTGTTAAGCTGTAATAATTATGCCAGAACTCTACATAAAACTTCTAAACAAGATCTAACAAGGAGAACTCAAGAAGTAGGCATCCTTGACATTGACAAAAACTAAAATAAGTTATGAAACATAAGCATTACGAATACTGATTAGCTAATTTTAATAGATATCTTTGGTCATCAACCTCCTCAATTCATTGTTTCCCTTAAATTCGAAACAACTACTTGTAATTAGTCTCTGACTGTGTAATATTCCCATAATTGTACTTAAGCGATTCCTTTGGGTAGTTTTCAGCATATTTATTGCTGAAAAAAACCTTTAAACCCCAAATATTAGTATGTATATTCATAAGTAATATCATAAGAGCATTCGAATTTTCCATCTTGTACCTATTATTGCAATATAATATTTGTTCTATCAGAATATCTGAAATAATTCACATTTTCATTACAGTATCATATTTATTAAAAAATTATACTTAGCTTAAACCAAAACCATACCAAAAAAGAAGCCCAATATTAAAAAATCTATGGAAATTCCGGAATACACGCACATTATACAACAATAAATAAATCATACATTGTACTTCGACGTACATAAAAATGGCAGCGGAATATTTCCGTAAATACTTTCTCCCGGGGTCGGGGAATTCCCTTATTAGTGGTTACCATAAGATGGCGGTTGCAAATTATGTATTTACGCACCGAGAATGATAAAGCGGTATATTACAGAAGTAAAACTGGATAGCGGTAGATGGCTCTCTAATGCGGTAGAAATACCGCTTCAGCGGTTGATCTGGTAGCACTGTCTGTAGGTACCCATTTACACTGTATTAAAGAACCGAACATAATTATGGAACCCATATATGTATGTATACCTAGCTTTAAAAAATTATCGTTTTCCCTTATTTCAACCCATTCAAGTCTAATTTTCACAACGAAAGGTAGCCTATGTCCGTCTACAAGGTCCAATATGCTAAAATTCATCAAAATCGGTAAGGCCGTTTTGGCGTGAAATTGGAACATACAAATATACATACACACTTCTACATTTATAATAGTGGTAGGGTTGCATAAAAACGCACTCTGGCATTTCGTGCATCACTAAAGCGCATTTCACATGTCCCCCAAGCTCAGTGGAAAGCGTGGTTTTATAAATCTCATCAAATACCACATCGAACGTCTATCTTTCTCCGCACGGGACGTTTGACGTACGCCTCCTATGATTTACAACGTGTCACACTTAAAACCCAATCGGGTGATGTACAGCGGTCCAGCCCAGTGTTGCCGATCCGAAAAAGACGAAATTCGGTCGGTTCAAGGATAAAATCTTTAGGCGCAAAAAATTAGGGCCTTCTCAAGATCAGCGATGGATAAATCGACTGTAGCTTCCTCTATGAAAAAAGTATATTTCTGTACTGCGCGCACATACACCACACAGTTTTCTTGAGGGCATCTGTCCCTGAAGAAATATTAAGTTCTTTATTGAAACCTGATGCAATAAGCATACTGGTAGCTCAAACTCCTTTGCAACTGTCATTGAAATTTATTTTGCCATACTTGTTTATAGGATTCTGAATATTTTTCTCTTTTAACCCTGACGCTTCACCATTTTCATTCATTAATAAATTAAATACAGACGAGCTTCGGTTTCCTGATTGTTTGTCCGGTGATGCAGTCATTTTTTTTTATACTCCAACTACCACGAAGGCCTAAGGCCTAAACACCCATGGGGTACCGTGAGGCTATAGGGGGATACAGGGGAAATGGGGGGGGGGGGTAATGACGGTAATCTACCAGTCTGTAGCTGTAGCAGGCACAAAGACCGATATAGGTAACGTGGAATAATTGTAAGCAATTCAAATGTACGTCCCTCGTGTGCCCCACTGCCTATCTGTACGCTTATGTAAAAGAGGCCTTTCAAGTATTACGTAAGCAGATGTATTGCAATTATTTGCCCCCCCATCCCCCTTGTCAGCAAAAGTAAGCTCTTACCCCCTCCCCCATGCTTACGTAAACATTTGTCAATTAATGTATTGTTTTTTTTAATATTATAATTATAACGTTATAATTATAATTTGAAAAGATACGGTATTCAACATAGAGTAAAGGACAAAAACATTAACATTAACAAATTAACGGTCTTCAGTCCATGAAACCCGAATCCATGATTCTAAGTTTTCGATGACATTGGACTGCTTCGATTGCTGCTCAGTTTGCTCGCTTTCATCGGATTTTGGAATGTCTACGTCGTTCTCATCGAGCCATTCGACATCATGGTGCTCCAAATTTTGAATAAAGCACATCAGTTCATTAGCACGACGAGTAGCAACTCTGACATGTCCAACTTTCCTATCAGTGTGCGAGTTTACGTTTTTATGGATTTTTTCGATGTGACGATTTAGTGACTTGACGGAAGCATGATAGAGACCACACGTTTTGCATGTTCGACTTGATAGCCTCAAGTTTACCGTCGGACAAAAATAATCGTACAGCATTTGCAGGAAATCTTTGAGTGCAGCACTTAAGCGTAGAGCTAAATTGACTGGAAGATTAAGAAATTGCCCTCCTTCATCCAAAACCAAGTCATCAACTGTTTGTTTTACTTTTACAGGTGGTAGAAGAAACATATTATCTAGTAATCTAAATAGGCCACTTCTTGGACGACAGCATACTGTATTTCTACATTTTACAATTTGAAGCAAGTATGGCTCTCACGCACATGTTCCGAATACCATTTAATGTCTGGAAAATCAGGAAGATCTTGTTCACCTGCCCCAATATATGTTGCATTAACATTATAGCCATCAATTTAAATTGAACTCCATACTTCAGCTAATACATTTCCTGCAAATTCAAAATTAGATCTTTCTAAATGTTCATCAATTGTAACGCCACGTTTATCCAAATGAGACCCAAAATGGTCATGAGGAAATATTAAACCAGCCAGTTCCCGACTAAGAGGAGCCATTCCGCGCTCTACTCTGTTACACGCACTTCTTTCAGGAGCATTGGTAGCTAAAAACAATGCATCGAGATCATGTCGCTTAAAGTGTTGTATAGCAAACCCTCTGACTTTTTGATAACGTGGATTTCCGTCTGGCCCTCCATCAGCCGCCATGATTACCACTGGTTTTACTAGTCCATGGTCAGTTTTAGCTAATGGTCGAAACTCTTCAAGTTCGAGAAGCGTCTCGAAATCCTGAGCATGAGTATTAGCAGTAGATGAACTATGCTTTCCACTTCGAATAGCGATGTATGTTGGTCCAGAATATCCAACGGTTAGCGGTTGTCCTAGCATATTGGAAGTGATTTTGATACCAGCATAAACATATGGTATTTATTTATGATGCTCAGCGATTACCCAATCGTGAGCAGGCAATTTGATTCTATATTCCATGTGCATTAGAAGAGGTGCTTGCTTATTTGCCGCAGGTACGCCAATAGGGACTCGAGCTTTATCGTCTTGAGGTATGAAAAATACTTGATCTGGTCCAAGTATGGATGCTATGTTCTCTAAATAATGGATTGATGTTTCAGCGAACTTGCTATCTAAGTGGCTCTTGTGGTGATCAGTTTGAGCCCGAATGAGCTTAACAGGGACTGTCGATACATGTCCTCGTCTCTCTGCCGAATTAGATTTTCTGGGAATCAAACGAAGATATGTCCCACTGCGACTAATATCAAATCCTATTTTATGTAATCCTTGTGCGAGTTCATCAAGAGTTTTTACGCTGCGAATTGATTCCGTTCGTCTTCTATCATCTGCTGCACTCCCAAATAAAGCTATATCCGAGATTGTTTTCAGTAGTGAATTTTGATTGCTTTCAAGATTAGGACGTCCCACTGAATCCCTCAGAGATAGTCTTTTTTATTTCTGGATTTTCATGACAAATATCTTCTAACTTTCTTTTCATACCATCCCTGTGCTTCTTCTGGACAACTGCGTTTTGAACATGCCTGTTTAAAGAATGTTTTGCTGCTTTATTTCCTCGCGCAACTTAATGATCTGTTTATCAACTTCAGCACGGTTTGGCGTAGTATCTCTGGCAGAATACAAAGCATTCAGATTTTTTTTGGAGTAGAGCAATCTTATTTTTCATAGCTTCCTGAGAAGGTTTTGCTCTGTTTATCTGCATTTTCATTAATTTCGCATTGCTGTTGTGATTCATTACCGGGTTTTATTTTATCTTCTTCCTATTTTTTAATATTTGAAGCTGACTGTATAATTTGAGTATTTTCTGCAGGTTTACAGGTTGCCTAAAAATAAACACTTTCTATGGCTTCTGCTAAAGATTCTCTTATTAAGCTACAAAATACAAAGTATGGCAATATATATGGTAAATACAAAACCCTATGGCTTTAAATCTAATATGTTTAAACGAGCAAATGGTTCCGGTCACAAAATACAGGGTGCTAGTTTTCTGTATATACGTATAAAGCTAACATCCCGTACTTTGTGACCAATTGACGTAATCAATCATAAGAAATAAATCTGTAATATAATGAATATTATCTCTATACTTTGAGATAGCCTAATATTTCTAGTACTCATAGGTACCTAAAATGATTCCGTCACTCACCTTAGAAAAACAATTTAGTAGATTGGATTGATTCTTAGTCGCCGCTTGCAATTCTTCTTCGATTCTCTTAGATACAATAATATCTAGTTCCTTGTCGGAACTTGCTTGTAATTTGTAATTTCGCCACACTTTTGTATATTTTGTACTTTCGTACTTGTATGAGATTTTTTAAAACTTTCAAACAATTTTTGGTATAATTTGGATTTGTCTATGTGAAACGACATCTTATTTAAACATTAAACTTTGGCTAATGGAATCAATGGTAACACAAACTTGCTTTACTATGCTTATAATACGTCTACTCGCTATACTATCCAAACGAAACAATACACTGATAGAGGAAATTTACTAAGCGCATGCATTACATATTTGCCTGAATCCCCGAAATTGCGTTTCGTTTTCAAGCAAAGACAATGTGAGGGTTGCCATTCGTGTAAAAAAGTAAATAACTACCGATGACGTAATCATCATCTAGTCTCCCCTACCCCCTATGTCATCCAAAATACAAAAGCAAAGACCCCCCGGCCCCCCATAGTGCTCACGTAATACTTGAACAGCCCCAAACTGGTATGGGGCGAAAACCCCATAGACTACATAGAGTTCATTTTTTTAGCTCTATTTTTAGTTCCAGCTACTTTTCGGTAAACTATCTGAAAATATCTTAATTATTTCAAAAAATCGTCGGAAATGACGTTTTTGGCATTTCGCTAAATAATGACTTACTCCTGTAGAAATACCGAAAAATCGATAGGTTCGGCAGCACTGGTTCCGCCATCAGCCAGGAGCATATCTCGGATGGCTTCGTGTGAGATAACAGGGGATAAAAACCGTCATATCGACCGTTTGCTAGTTTGAATTTACGGACAGCGCAAACTGACCGTTTTTGTCCGCTAAACTGTTGAAATATTCGCAGCAGATGCCGCCGTAAGAAGACAACATGCCGACGTGCAAACTCTGCAATATTATGCGATATAAACGGTATAAACAGACAATGTACCAGACTGGTAAGGGATTTTTTAGCGCATTCATCGTGTATTGGTTGATAATGGGTAGCAAAATATCATAGAACTTTCGATGCAGGGTTACCAGACGCCAAGTTCTTTTTCTCGTAACAGAGATGTCAAATTTCTCGTATACCGAGCACACAATCTCATACATAGTGGCGTATGTAAAACTTCAGCTCGGCAGGGGTGTTATGTAAAAAACCTAAGAAATGTCAAAAAGAAAAGCCGTCGTAATTTAAACTAGCAGACTAACTAGTTTTTAGTGTACAAGGACTTAATCGCCGCGAAGTGAATCATTTTTATGAAAATCTTGAATCTGCCATGTAGAAAAATAACTTCGAAGCCTCCAGACTATACAATGTAGACGAAACCTGGGTCTCAACGACCTCAAATAAGCCTCCAAAGGTTATCTCCATAAAAGGTAAAAAACAAGTAGATGTGCTTGCAAGTGCAGAACGGGGCCAATTGACAACCGTCTTTGGGTGTTGTAATGCATCTGGTAGTTTTCTTCCACCTTTCCTAATATTTGCATGGAAGAACATGCAAGCAAGACTTCTTGATGGTAGTCCGCCAGGGACACAAGCTACGTGTACTCCTAATGGTTGGACATTAGGCGAAGTCTTCTTGAACTGGATGCATTTCTTCGTAGAGCAAGTCAGGCCAACAGCATGACAAAAAGTACATGCAATGTATGCAATTTATTTAAAAAAAGCATAGGATGTCAACCCTCACACACAAGTAGATGAGTATGTAAGGCTCACCTAGTTTCCTGCACAGATATCCTGTTTCCCTCGGAAGAGTTGGAAGTAGACCTAATTTCCACCTTGGAGACACTTGACACCCACGTCACAACACCAAGGCACCACTGAGAGACAATCGAGAACCCTATAGTGAACACCACAACTGAAAAATAGTAGCGACACCGAATAGGGCTCTGTATGGAGCTGTGAACGCGTAGACATGTCGCTGCGCCGACGGTTGCCGAGAGACTGAAGCGTGCGAGTGCTTTACCTCACTGCGGCGATACGGTACGGCCAGGTAGTACAACCACGCTCCATTCTAGCTCCCACTCCGGGCGTCTGCTCCCGAAGCGACTCGATGTTTACGTTGACCGGTAGCACAGAGCACTCACACGCTTCAGGCTCTCGACAACCGTCGGCGCAGCGGCATGTCTAGGCGTTCACAGCTCTATGCTGAACTCTATTCGGTTTAGCTACTTTTTTCAGTAGTGGTGTTCACTAAAGGGTTCTCCATTGTCTCTCAGTATTGCTTTGGTGTTTTAGTGTTGTGACGTGGGTGTCAAGTATCTCCAAAGCGCAAATTAGGTCTACCTCCAACTCTTCTGAGGGAAACACGATATCTTCGCAGCAAACTATGTGAGCCTTGCATACTCATCCAGTTGTGTGTTAGGGTTGACATCCTATGTTGTTTTTAAATGAATTGCCTACATTGCACTGTGGTATATCTCAATCGCCAGATCAATATTAACCAAAGAATCACTTCCAAAGCGACTCATTTTCACTACAAAGGCTAACTAGCACTGTTTGAAAACAATATTACAAAATTTAGCTTAGCGGCGTTTTCTGCTGTCCTAGGAGGCCATAATTACTTGTTATCAAAGATATTGTAATTTTTGGTGACAACAGCTGTCAAATTTTGCCGCTAGTAAACTGGAAAAAATGCTGACAGGTACTGTAATACAGTTTTTCTATCTAGAAACTATTTGTAATTAAGAATTTCGCGTTTGTGATTGGTAGAAATTAAGACGAGGGAAATAGTGGTCGTGAAAACCGCAGGATAAGTTTCAGATGCTACATTAACACAAAAACTGGTGCCACGGTTTGACTTGTGTTTGAATGTCTATGATGGCTATGTTGAAAAATGAGATGTTCATATTTTAATTTGTGATACGATTTACATTCATAAATAAAATTTCTCTGACTGGATTACAAAACGGTTCTTACTTAAAAAATGACCCTCGTATAAGTCGTCACTTCAATGCTATTTTTTTGGGTTAATAACTGTGACATGCTGGCGATTTTCGATTGTACAAATGAAGCCAGAATTGTGGAACGACTTGATTTTTCTTCAGTTGATACAATAATTAATCTTAGCACTGTCGGTTGAGATTTTCTAGGGTTTTCCTCGCCCAAGTGCGAATGCAGTCACTAAAAACCATATTCTCTTACTAAATAGTGGAGAAAATGAAAATTGTACTTCTCATATTAATGATCATGTAATTTTAGATCAAACACATAATAAATATATTTATATAAGGAAGAAATGTTTTCTTTTTCCAATTGTCCCGTATTCAAAAAGTATTTTATCCTATAAAACTGGGCATTTATAAAAGTGTTCAGAGACATTAACGTTCCGCTGCCTAGACGCCAGGCGACGCAAAATGCAAATAACAGCTTTTTTCAGTTTTTTGGC